CAAAGAGTTCTTTGTTCTGTTTGAAAATTAAGGGGTTTAAGGTTAAGGAAGCTGAATATTTTTGCAGCGGTATCTTTGATCGAGATCGCGTCTCAATTTTAATTCTTCGCAGCCTCGGTTGCTTCAGAAGACATCAATCCCCTCTACCCTAAAGCGATATCTGTAAGACATTCAGTTTGTTTCATTTCTTCATTGTTCTCAAAATTTCTCTAGAAATTTCAAATTTCTGCAGTTTTGGCCTTCTAAAATGGAGCCTTGTTTCGACATTCTAAGTTTAATTTAATTGCTAAGTTTGATTTGGTATAGCTAATTTTGATATTAATTATAGGATTTGATGGAAGCAATTGTTAAGGGATTAGGTTTCCAAGCTGACGAGTTTTAGATATCAGGTTTTGGTTTGAGGGACGCCTTAGTGGGAAGGTCGGTGGACTATGAATTTGATGTTGAAATTGATAATAAAGTTCTGCCCTTTAAACTTTTGGAGGACGTTAACCGATGGGATTATGTGGAGTTGCCCATTTTTCGCTTAGAGGATTTGAGCAATGGGCTGTTGGGGAGGCAGCTATTGGAGGACCAGATGCCGTTTTGGCCCCATTCCAGTTGGCTGGTCCAATGGAGCTATGGATTCAAGATGAGAATTTAATTGCCGGTAAGTTCAACTTCCATGATATCCGGTTTAACGTTTACTTTTTTTGTGCATTTCCTCTCTGGCTCTGTTTAATGTTGATTATTCAACCTTATGCGTAATTGTTGGGAGCGCGTATGGAGTTTATAATTGTTTCTATATGCAAGTTACATGATTATGGAAAAAGGGGTTTGTATTGGTGATTATGTTGAGAAAAAGATGGAGAATGTTTAATCTGCAATCTGCAGGACAAATGTTCGCAGGGATGAGGAATGGAAACTGTTAGTAGTTGATGAAAGTGAAAATTTAATTTATTATCGTTCTGATCATTGAAAAAGAATAACTATCACTAGACAATGATAGTTTAATAGTTGTGTCAAGTGAAAAAGCCATTCTCGTTAGATGTCAATGGATTAGGAATCTTCGCATTCTTAGCTATTCAAACTAGTTTTGTGGTTCATTTGGATTAGAAGTTGCTAATCATGGTGGGGAAAGCTTGTTCTTTGTGACTTTCTTGTGTTTCTTGGTTCATGTGTTACACTTAACTTGTCCACAAGTTTCAATTAGATTATCTTATTTTTTATTATTTTGCAGCAAGTTTTCTTATTATGTTTACCAATAGGGTTTTAGTTATTGTTATAAGGCGATTGTCGGAATGTTTCATTTCTTTACTTGAACAATCCGACTTTTTTTAATATAAAGCTTAGATTGTTATTGTTGTTGTTCTAGGGAGAGGGCTTGAGTATGCAGCCCACATAAAGTTAATTAAATCACTGATCATCAACATTTGTCATTGGTTACTACTTGCTCATCATAAAATAAAACGTTACTGAATGCTCACCAATTTTTAAAAAAATTACCCATTCATCATCCCTTCGTCCAACTGCGCAAAAATACCCACGGGGCGGATGAAAATCCTATGTGGCCATTAACGCTGTTAAGAATTGCCACGTTTGAAAATCCTACATTGAAAAAGTAGCGTATTTTCCTATAAGTAGAAACCCAAAAAATAAGCCAAAAAGTTGGATAAATTGCACCTTCTGCAACCTGTTTCCTGGGTTGAGATTTGTTCAGAAATCAGAAAAAATTAATTAACAAAGGCAAAAAAATTTAGTTCGAACCAAAATTTTCTTGGTTGTTCAAATAATCAGAGCCAAAAGGCTCCAGCTTCTCTCAGACGAGGCACCAATTCACAGAAAATATGGACGCTCATGATTTCTTCAAGCCATCTTAGCAATTTTCAACTGACAAACACCGTCATAAAATTGGCTCTGACAGTGGAGCATCCTTCTTCCGAAGACGAACTCCTGTATTTCTCACCATACACAGGCCAAGGTTTTGTAGCAACCTTGCAAAACATATTACGCTTAACCATTATAACTCCCAACCCATCACCATCTTCCAAATGGGCTCCTGTAGATCTTTCCCTGCGATGGAGAAACCATCCCCCTTATCTAATAAAACTCTTAACTTCACATTCCTGTTTTCCAATCATGTACCTCCTAATTTCAGCCTGAAAGACAATCAAATCTGATCATTAATCATTTGAAAAGAAAATCAGCAAGAGATATTTTGAAAATGAGTCAGATCATTATTTTCCTAGTTTGGGTACTTGTATGTCTCGCGAGCTTCATGGAAAATCTCTTTCGATAGAAGTTTGAAGATTTTCAATTTCGATTTTGATTTGAAAGTCTTGATATGAGATTCCATTGATGGGAAGCTGATTTGGGGGAAGAAATAGTGGCAGAAGATGAGTAGAAAAGAAAAGAGTTATTCTAATGTTTTAAAGAGAAAATGCTTTATTTAAATGTATTGTGATTTTCCAACGTGTCTATTTTTAACTCAGTGGCCAGCTAAGACTTTCATCCGCCACGTGGACACTTTTGTCTAGTTGGATGGATGGAAATTGAAAGGGTGATGAATGGAATGGGTAATTTTTTTTTTTTAAAGTGGGTGAGCGGTCAGCAAAGTTTTATTTTAGGGTGAGCAACTAGTAACCAATGGCAAATGTTGATGATCAGTGATTCAATTAACTTGCCCACATACTGTTAT